TACATGTTTTAAAAAAGAATAGAACTCTACAACAAATAATTTTTTGAGAAAATCTCTCTATTACATTAAAACTAAAGACCTATTCTATCAACTAATAATGCTATTTTTTTAAAAGGTAGGATAGAAAGTGACTTCTATACTTTTAAAATTTATGCAAAATTTAGAAGGTCTTTAGACCGAGCCAACTATATATTATTGGATTTTATATTAATTATCTATTTATTGGACATGTTGTGAGAATTCACATGCTCACAATGTAAACTATTTCTTTTAATTTAACCAATAATTCTATCTGTTGTCTATCATCAATGTGATTCAAAGCATAAGAAAGAGTTGTAAATTCATTATGCAAAGGCTTCATAATTACCATTTTCCAACCACCAGGCAAATTGTTCACTGCAATTAAGGTTAGTGCTATTCCTTGACTTGCACAAAATTCGTGAACTTCTGCACCATATCTCCAGGTAAATTTAACCAATAAACATTGATTTTGTCCATCACATGAAGTACTTTCTTCATTATTTTCTTTGATCATGAAAAGAAGCTCTTTACCTTCTATATGTTCAATATATTGAAATGATATTTCTTCATTGTTATAGGTGAATGATCTAAAGTAAGGAAAGCTGAATGGCCTAAGGCCTCCATTCTCTTCAAAATTTGATGGAAGTTCTAGATCTTGATAGAAGTCTGCTAGTTCCTGCAGACCTACCTTCAGTGAACACAAAATACGCACAATGTGGATCATTGTTTCTGGATCATTATTTAATGAAAAAAGCAGAACCATAGGAGTAAGTGGGTCTATTGTGAAATCTTTACCAAACACAGCACCGGCTATTCCAAGATATGGTCCAGATAAATATAGTAAGAAGACTGGATTGAGACCATATTTCATCTTTGTATCTTCATTCTCGCCAATATATTCAGCATAAGAGCTACATGCTTGAATGTAAGGACAGCCTTTTCCATCACCCATTTCATTTTTCCCTTCTCCAATTAACAAAAGAAATTGATTACTCGATTTAGAAAAGTTGATACCTATATCGGCCTCTGAATGATCCTTTGGAAGTGGCAATTTTTTAACTGGCATACCAAAGTAATTTGATGCCCATTCATGAAACTTTTCAAGTCTGCATGCTTCTTTCAGATAAAATTTTATCATTATGTTTAAAAATTCTTGGACTTGATTGCAATCTTTATCTTCAATATTAATCTTCGAGCAGTTTGTCTGGAAATGAGTGAATGCTGGATGGTATAATGTAATTGGTATTGCTGCTGCAGATGGACAATGATTCATAATTAATGGACTTTGAAACTTTTCCCATTTCCCATCCCTACAGAAACTTGAAGGTGTGGGCATCTCTTGTTTAATATGCTTCTAATATAGAAATATTTATAACTATTCAAAATTCCATCCATTACTATTACCGAAAGTCATCGAATATTCATAATTCCTTTTGGAAATTTGATTATTCAAAAATGGGATTAATGATTGGAAACACTACTATAGACTAGAAACTAAAAATTATTTAGCACCTGACACATTGCAAATAAAGCACATTATGCTTATTAAAAACACTAATAAGATTTAGCTAATGGAAGCAAAGATGAGATTTTTTGGTTTTCATTCAAGTACACTCACCTACAATAAATATCCGACCATCTGACGATCATTTTAATAATTGGGAAACTTATATCTCACGCAGTTCAAAATTTTATTAATTAAACCAGGACTGGTGCATTAAGTAAACATGTTTTTAAAGTCAATTTGAATATAAACTTAAAGTTTCGTTGAGTTTGCATTATTAATAAATTTAGGATGAAAATTTTAAATTAGGCAAAAAATTTCGTGGTTTTTATGAAAACTTTGAGCTTAGTAAAAAGGTTCAAAACTCTGTTGAATCATGAATTATGTCATTAAGTAAGTCCACTTAAAATACCTTGAATTATAAATGGTTAAAATTTGAGAAAATTTGATCAAGTATAGACAACGAAACGTAAAGCCTTAAAATTTGCATTTTGTCAACTTTATTAAGTGTTTTATATGATAAAATTACGGGGTGGTCAGATACTTTTTTAAACCCTTTTCATAAACTAATTTATGCTGACACTATATTGTAAATATATGTAATCTGTTACGTTAAACACGTTTTATTAAGGTAATAATATACATTACAACAAAAAAATTTGACCTTTTATTACATGTAAAAATTCAATCGGAAATTTTCTTTTTTGGATGATTTGTTAAATATTTCCATTAATACCATACCGAACTGTTTGAAATTTTCGTAATATAGAGTTTTGATATCAAATATGAGTTTACTTAGTATAGCAGAAAAGGTTTTATTTAAGAAAACGTACTTTATTTAGCAAGTACTTTTTTTCATTTGACGTTACACAGCACAAGTGGTCGGATATTTTTTGTAGGGGAGTGTATATACACTGATCTGATTTTATTATAATAATAAAATGGTGCTTTCTAGAAAGGTCTGTGGGTATTATATAGATGCTCTAATTTATACATCAGTCAGTATTTAATGTTAAGGCAAAATTCATTAGAAACTAACATGATTATTGCAGTGACCAATCAGATTTTATGAGGCGTGAACTGCTGACCACAAAAGATTTTTTAACAAGTGTTAAAATTTACTCTTTGTATTATAGAAAGCTCTGTCTCGACTACTTCAACCTTGCCATCTTTTCTCAATCATTAAATTCCAATTCATCCGAAGATAAATTTTAATGTCACACAGTTCTCCTTTTGTAAAAAAGGATTAACACTTGTTTGGTTCATTACCAAAGATTTTACTTAACAGCTTTGAACACCTTTGGAATAAGTTCCATTCTGCCCGCCAGAATAAACTCAAACTTTGCTGTTGTCAATCCACCATTAACATATTAATATCACCGTTGTCAGCTGTAATATATGGAAGATTGATATTTGTTTATAGGGCTGACAGAAATTCAAATTTTGCTTTTTCAGAGGCTTTTCTAATACATTGATCTCCAATATATCTATTTTTTGTGATGTCATTATCTTGTTCTTTTTTAAATTATTATAATATAATTCACCACCAATGCATCATCAAAATCCTTGCCACCAAGGACATCATTGACTTCAAATATACCATTTTGTATTTTCAAGAATTTAAAGATCAAAAATTTCACCACCAAGATTACAAATCTATATCCAAGCCATATGCACGTAATATATAAATTAAGTATTAATTGCTTAGAACAATAATATTCTCAATTTTTTTGCTTGATGCAACACAGTCAATTAAATCGGGGCTGAATGCATAATCCTAACGAGTTACTTTCAATGATATTCATATATTTATTAAGATGATGTGGAATCACAGAAATAAATGATGACACATTGAGTAAATAAATTTGTCTCTTTTAGGATATCCTAGAAGGTTTCAAGCAACTTTATATAAAGACTTGGGTGGCTCACAAAAATAAAAGAATGAGTAAGAACCTCCCATCCCAAGTTTGGGGTTGAACTGATCAGCTACTTTTAAGAAAAGTGAGATCGCAATTGTCGTAATTATTGTTATATATACATCTTATGATTCAATGTTACACGTATAATTAAAGTTACATCTCAAAGTAAAATTTTTAAAAAAAAGTGATAAAATTTTTTTCATTACGATTAATCTTTTTTTTATTTTTGGAAATGATTTTATTTATTTGTTACAGAAATAACAATAAATAAATATAATAATGTATTATTAATCAATACCACATCTTTATCTTGAAATTAGCAAGGTTAACTAACAATAAACCTACTATTCACATTTTTTGGTCAACACTTTTGCTTCTTCAAGTGTTAATTCTGAATGATGATATCTATCCAACAAATATAGACGATTAAATGTATTCTCCATATCACATTAACTACAAATGGTGTACTTGTACAAGTACCAAAATAATTTATACAATGAAGATTTGGCGTTGATGAAGCCTGCTATTAAAAGATTAACTATATATGGTTTCTAAAAGATTATGTTTATAATTTTTTTAATTCAATAATAATAATAATAGTAGTAGTAGTAAATAAATAGAGTCTCGTGATCTTAATGAGCATGTCATCATAGTATATTTTGGTGAGCCAAGAGATAAAATTAAATTTGCAGAATATGTTTGTTTATGGGATCAAGCCGACATCAAAGCTGCAGCTACCTATAGCAGAAAAGAATTAGCTACTAGTATAAGAAGCAGAGTGAGTAATTTATTTATTGGATTTTGTAATAGTAATTGAAGTATCAGTACGAAAATTTTGCCTGCTATTCCAATAAGACACTCCAACATATATGTATCTTGGTCTTCATAAAATTCAATGTAACATAGAAAATATGATTACTTTAATATATATAATTGCTACTATAGATCCTGTAGAATTGTAAGAGATCACAGTGTAAAAAAGATAACAGAGTATTTAGCACCGAATCATGTTAATATTATGAAAATAATAATGGAATGAAATTCAAATAAATTGACGTAAACTTCCATCTGGTCCACCAAAAGTTCACCGCCTTCCTTAAAGCCACCACCAAAATCATCATCAGGCTATAACTTTGTCAATTGTACACCTTCAGGGTTAAATAATAAAATTTTATTTTGATAAAATTTAAATTAATACAAAATAAGAAAAACATTAGATGAGATTATATTTTGCCAATACTCGTTTCCAAACGGGTCTTTCGCTAATATTTTTCACCCATCTAGCTAAATTAGGTCGCTTGTCATTAATAAATATATCTCCAGAGTTGGTTTTGTCAACAGTAAAAAAGATATTAGGCACATGAGCAAGATCAGCTAAAGAATATTCACCAGACAAATAATCTTTTCCTTTGAGAAACTTTTCATAAACATCCAATACTGGTTCGATATTTTCTTTTGCTTCTTTGACCTTTTTAGTATTAGGTTCATTATTCATCATACACTTGGCAATATATTCTTCAAAAACAATAGTTAATGATGGTTGATCAAAATATAAACTTTCAACTGATAAGAATTGTTCAACCAAAGTTGCCTTTTGTAGATCTTTTGGAATCAAAATTGTAGAATTTTTGGTTCCTTGGTATTTGTTTACGAGATATCGACAAATTACACGTGATTCAAAAACTTTAAAACCGTCATCAAACATTACTGGAATTCTTCCACTAATAATCATGATTAACGAACAAGATTGATTTTTAAATTTAGAAAGAAATTAATATTATTACTTAAAAAGATCACGTCACTTACAATGGATGCTTATTAGCAATAAATTCAGGCGTTTTGATTTGTGGTGTTTTCTCAAATTCATATTCTTCTATACCTAACTCTTCAAGGGTAAGGATTGTTCTAAGAGTAGCAGGCGAGAAAGTGAATCCGATGATTTCAATGCCCTTTTTTAAATTATTTTGGGTTGTAAGATGATTGCAAAAGAAATTCTTGCGTGTATTTATATTCCTGAAGTTTCTGAGAAAAACCATTTTTATCATTAAAAAAAATTCCAATTCTACCGAATCCTTTTATTTAATATTTTGTCTATCATAATCCTCTAACCATATTTAAATATTAACATACCGCAATGTTACACGATATAAGTTATATGAGAGAGGACATGAGACATTTGATTCGAGTATATTTTATTTTTTTACTTCGAAAATGTATTCCGATAACCATTTTTATTAACCAATTTGCATTGAAAAATCCGTGCCTTAACTATCCTTACTACCATACCATCCTCAAACCCCATTCTTTATTTGGTTGGATAGAAACATGACTATCTTATACTAAAACGCGAGGTAAGGAATACATACCCATGACCACAAAGTGGTTTAATCCATAAATTGGTAAACGATCGAGCAAATTTTTTATAATAATTGTGTAATTCAGAAAAATTATGAATTATATATGTAAAGAAACAAAGTCTCAATTTTTATGCAAGCATTTAGCTTATTTTTGAGTAATCACAGTAAGGTAGAAACCTAAAGTATATCATCACATAAAAAGAATCAATAGTTGTACAGTATATGAAATTTGCAACCCTCGTCATACATTTGTTTTTAATTGAAAGAAGAAGCTCCTATGACAAGTAATTCATTTTACAACAAGATAGAAATCTAAAGCGTTTTCTGATATATATATATATATATATATATATGCACCTTTGATATAATCATTATTCCTAGTTTTAACGGTTGTCAAAAAAAAAATCAATAAAAGAACAGTCAGAAACATGATGGATGACCCGATCTCATTCGGAATTTAGGAATAGACAATATTAATATCAAAAGCAGAAGAACACGGAAAGCAAGATTCCATTGTTTCTGAAACAATACTAATACATATATTTGGTGTGAATTGATAATAATCCGAGAGGAAAAAATCCTTTTTAGGGAATATAATATATGTCTAAATAGAGATGTAAATGGTGTTCGGAAAATTTTCCTCGATCTTTGCTGGGCGGAGCTTTGCAATTGGCATGAACAGCAATGCCTTTACTTCCGCTTTCATTAGAACTGCTCATTTAAAATGGTAATGGCAGGGTATGCTCCGGTCCGTACCCTATAAGGACCGGACCGGCTGCGGATATTAACATTCTAATTCGTGAAGTTAAAAATGGAAAAAATAAATTACGGGCTTTATTTGTAATGCCATATTATAACGGGTTGTGAATGATTGGATACCTGGATGATGGATATATACCATTATAGGATATTATATAATGATAGAATAATTGTATTTAAAAATAGTAAACCTTGTTAAAAATAATTTTAAAAGCGCGATAGAAATATAGGCGATGCCTCACGGCAGCCATCTTACCTATTTACTTTACATCAGTGGCACAAAAATTATGCTTTAAACGGAGAAAGTTTCAAAAACGTAATCTCAATCATGGCTTTGAATGACATCAGAGGCTTGGATTTTAGAAGTAAATGCGACCTTTTATGTTACACAGAACCTTAATTTTTTAGAATATTATAAATCCTTTTTTTTTTTTGAAATAAATTTTTTTTAAAAAATAAAAATAAAAAATAAAAAAAAATTATGGACCATGATGAAACTCATAGTAATACACCGAGTGAACCTTTCCATACCATTCCGATCTATCAACCAGACGCTTCTTCATCCGATAGTGATAGTAACGATAATAACGAGAGCCCAGTAAACTTAGATTCACCTGTAGAAGAAAATAGAGAAAACGTTTTGCAACGTTCCACCACCATTACCTCAGTATTACAACATAGACCAAGAATTCAACCACCACCGCGTTCTTTTACTGAACCAGTACCAAAACATGAACGACATCCTTCCGAGTTATCTGTGATGGCTGAATCTATACAAACTAGACCAAGTGTTGAAGACGCATTATTTTTTGAAGAGGAGGAGGAAGAAGATAGTGAAGAAGATTTAGAAGAATTACAAAGACAACAATATCAACAACAGCAGCAACAGCAACGTTATCCTTCACAACAAATAATAAATGTACCAAAGTTAACTCTTAGTCCATCTACACAATATCAAAATTATAATAACGACGATGATGTTAAAGACATTTCTACTGAAATACAACAACAACATCAACCACATAAAACAACAAAGCAAACTACTACAACATTACTTCCGCCGACAAAAACAACAAAAAACACAAAATTTACTGGTTTATTACCTTTGAATTTGTTAAGTGGTGATGAATCATCATCATCATCTTATAAAAAAAGTAAACATGAACTGTCAAAAGAGAATTTGGAAAAGACTCATCGAAAAAGTAGTGATCAATCAAAAAGAGGTATTTGGTTTATAATTATTTGTAATGTACCTGCGTAAATTGGTTTTTTTTTAATATTTACAAAAAACAATTTTTTAGATTCAAAATCATATGATAATTCAATGCGTGGAATAAAAAAAGAAATGTCAAGCGTAGCAATAGATGATGGTGGTGGGTATAGAGATAATGAACTTTTATATCAAAGAGATTCAGCCGATCTTTTACCATTAACTTTAGTAGCTGGTAGTGGAGGCGGTGGTGGTGGTTCAACATCAGGTGGTTTAAGTTTTTCAAGCAATTACGCTTATCTTTCACCACCATTCGGACGTATAATATCAAGGTCTCAAATTTTGGCAAGAGTTGCGATTTTTTCGCAATTAATTTTATTCAATATTATTTATGCCAGTTATAAATTAAGCCCAACTAGACAATTTTCATCAACAACTGCATCAACAACCGCACCTTCAACAACAACAACAACCGTTACTAATGTTAGTGAAATAGTTGACGGTAAAAATTATGTTAGCAATCTAGTTGGACTAGTGATTTTACCCTGTCTTTTTTTAATATTGTATTTAAGTATTGTCACAATATGGACTTATATTGATTTAAAGAATAAAGGTTTCGATTCATCATTTACAGTAGCATACTATTCTCCACTTATGCTGTTTTCAATATTTTACGGAGAGAAAAAAAGAGTTGACGTGTCAAAATTTCATGAAGTTAATTATGGTGCAAAATGGTGGAGATTTGGTACTTCGAAAGTGAGAGAAGGCATCATAATGTCGATATATTGTATATTTGTAATAGGATTTGTTACGTCTGATATAATTAGTAGGGCTTTGAATGAGTCAAATTTACAAGTATCGAAAGTGTTTGAGGATTTTGTACCATTTTTATTTATGTTGATTATATTTTCTAGTGGATTTTTTATATTTATTTGGACTGTTGTGGATCCGGTCATCGATGGCACATTACACGGAAGTGGTGAAGGAAAAAAGAGATTAATCGGAGTGTTGCCAAATGCTTTTAAATCAAAGAGGGTTTGAAGTTAATTGAAAAGTGAGAGATTATTAAAGAAAATAGGCATTTCTTAAATCAAAGATATATTTATACATTAATTATCGTTACTATTATTTACAAAATAATATTTTACATTCTTAAAATTCACATCATTTTCAAATTTTTATATTATAAATTTTTTTTTTGTAAATAATTTAAATAATTTATAATTTATTTCAGTGGGAATATGTATAGAAATTAAATGATTTTATATTTAACTATTTATAAATTAAAATAATTTTGGGAATCTAATCTTGAAATAAATCCGGATTACTTTCTTTGAATGCTATACAATAACCTTCCAACTGCGTTGCCGCGTATTCTTTTGCTGTTTCATAAATTATGTTATAAGTTTGTGGCAGAACATATTTTGATAATTTAATTTCGATTTTCTTTTTGGTATCTACTAATTCGTAATAATCCGATCCTTTTAAAAGATCTAACAGTAAGTATATAATTCTTTGTCTATCATCACTATTATTGTTGTTTTCTTCGGCAATCACTTGATCTAAATTACCTCCATACATGATTTTTATTAAACTTCTAAAGCCATTCGGACTAATACCGTCGCATATTTTATTTTGATCTATTCTAATCGGTTCATTGAAGGCTGCTGTATGAAAATTACCATAAAATGATGTTTCAAAATGTTTACACGTTGCCAAAATCGCTCGATTGGCTCGTATTTCTTCTCCTCCAACTGTAAAAATCACATCATTATAAGCTGGTGGACTATTAACTAGGAAGTTTTGAAGTCTTTTAAGTAGTTGATCTCCTTCGGAATAAGATGACATATCCTCAAATTGAAATTGGGTTGGATTTTTAACTACATATGCACCTGCTACTTTTAACAATTTTTGATATTTTGAAATAGAATTCTTCACGTATCCTTCATCACTCTCGAGAACTCCTATTCGTAATTCGTCAGCATCAACCCAATTACTTTCGTCATACGGATTTTCGTACGAATTGTCGTTAATATTAATATTCAAAAACAACTTAAGTCCAGGATCAGCATCAAAATCTGCTCGCGTCAATTTATTAAATCCATAACCATCATCATCTGAATCATCGTCATCCTCATCGCAACAATTTTCATTTAATGCTTTATATATTTTGTCAAGCATTTTTATAAATACGTGAGGGTAAATTGTATTGGAAGGATCAAGTGCCATTTCTTTAACAGTTTTTAAATGTTCGAGAACAACAGTTGGTTTTGGTTTTCCAAGTTCCGGAAATTTTTCCAATATTTTATTAATAACAGAAATATTTCTTGGTATAGCTCGTGAATCTATAATCCCTAATTGTGTCCATGCAATATCTCTGTATTCATTTGAGCATAATGATTCAAAACACTCTACATCACCGTCAATTATTCTAACATATTTGGTTGCATATGTATTCCTAATCTCTTGATCGACTGGAACAAATTTTTTTCTTAATAATCTTTGAATATCCTCACGATCAAAATTAACTTCTTCAAAACGTTCATATAAATAATTGACTAAAACTCTAGCCCGATCCACCAAATCATTATTCGATCTTGTTTGTGTTCTTCTATTATTATTGTTTCTATGTTGAAGTCTGTCAATTTCATCTGCACATTCTAAAAATGTAACACGATCCACAGAATGCTTCAACCCCATTCTTAATAATGCTGTTAAACATCTTTCGTCAGATACAATATCACGGTGAACAATCTTCCCAGAATCTTTAAATATCGTTTCGAATAATGGTTGTTCATTGGAATAATATAAATTTCTAGCAAGTTTTAATACTTTGTCCGAATCATTTGGAATTGCTGCTGTTTTATTCATTAGCAAATCTTTGGCGTTATTAAAATCATTGGAAATTAAAACGCTTTTAATGAAATCAATATATTTTTTCTCATCTTTATATTTTGATGGAAATTGAATAGTATCTTTAAGAAAATCATTTAGTTCAACAACTCTCGCTCCTAAATTTGTTAGTATTATCCTATCCAACGTAATAATATCATTGTTGTTACTACTATTTTCATTTTCATAAAAAAATCCATTCAACCTGCTACTATTTTCATCGAATAAACGAATATCTTGAGGTTTTAGAGATACATCAGAAGCTCTAAAAAAACTTTCGCCGTTTGGAAAAGTCGGCCAAATTTTCAAATTTTGTAGGACATAATTAAATTCATGAGTTAGCAAGCTCCATTTCTCTCTCACATACTTCTTTATTACCTCGATATCGTCTGGTTGTATGTCGACATTGTTAGCTAAGAAATCATTATTTTGTCTTATAAAATTTTCCAATACTCGAAAAATGTTCTTATAATTCCATTCGAGAATATAATCTTTTAGTTTATCATGTATATTTCTTCTGGTGAACTTTACGCCTAATTTAATTAGTACATGTATCATGTCTCCATCAGTTATGGATTGTGGAACTTTAAATACGGGGTTATCAGAATCTAAAAGATATAGAGCATTATTTGGTGAACAAATATCTAACAGTGGAAAATCTCGAAAAGATTCTACACCGTAATCGGACGCTAAAATTATTTCCCAAATGTTTTCTAACCATATAAAATTTGAAATATTATGTAAAGAAGCAGAAGGATCCCAATATTCTATATTTTTCTCCTTGGTCAATTGATGTTCTAAAAGGTGTAGTAATGTATTGGCATTAAAAGAACTAATATTGGTTGCCCTTTGAAAATCCTCAGATTCAAAAATTGTTCTCAATTCGCGATCTTCCACACAATCTCTATGAACAAAAAAGGAACCGTTTACATTTGAAAGAAGTCTTCTTTGTTCTGTAGTTGCAATATATTTTCTTTCGCCAAATTCACCATAACTTTCATCTTCAAGTGGAAGCAATTTTATTCCCCTTATCATATCATAACATTGTTGATCTTTTAATAAAAATTTTAATAATTTTATGATGTCTTTGATAGCGTGTTTATTTGTTATATCATCAATATCCTGACCTCTAAGTTGTTCACAAATGTTTTCTGTGGCGACTTTGTTAACCTGCAAACCAGATTTTTCTAAATCTTTTAAATATTCTTCGTCTAATCTTACAATTGTCGAGTTAAATTTTTCAAGAAGTTCAATGGTAAGTTTATCATCTTCATTTTTAAAACACGCCTCTTCGAATGTAACATACTTTCCACCATCACCATCAAAACCACGAGTGAAAAATAATGGTTGATCTCGAGGAAGTAGTTTTAACACTGCGCCACCAAATTCTCTAACATATTTCTCATGTGAAGTTTCTTGTGATGGTAATGGCCAATACTTGACAATAATTTGTTCTTGAGAATATTGATTCCTTGCCGAATCGACGAGATGTTCCAAAATTTTTATGTAAAGTTTTGGTAAAACATTTAACAAGATATAACGATTCCATTGTAAGTACAATTCATTTTTGTCAGAGAGCGCATCATCATTTAACAAGATATTATTCCTTGATGAATTGTTTGCCCAAATACCATTCAAATGAACAGGTAAATTTGTCATTTGAGCTAATGGAAAGAAACAAAACAATCTTCCTATAAAATCATCAGTTATTTCATTTAAAGCAGCAACACCTCCCCAAGGTTTTAAACGATTTTTTCCTGCGAAATCTTCAAGTGTTTGGTCTCCAATTAATCTATTGCCTCCTGTACACACAATCCAATTTTTTGATTCCTCAGTTTCATCTTTCATAACTTTCGTGACAGTATTAAGAGCAAAAATTTCAGGATCAATATTATAAGAGAGTCTTTTTTCTCTGATTTCATCAGAATTGGTGATACTAATACTCCATAAATGTTCTTCTTCGGCAGTTTCCTTCAAATGATAAACGTCGATTGATTCGACGTATTTTAAGAAAATTAGACAGGAAATTGCATCCTTTTTAAAATTTTCCAGGAACTTTAGAATTTGTTTTGCATCATAAATCACATCGCTAATTCTACTTTCAGTGTTTCTAAGAGGAAGTCGAAACAACGTTCCATCAAAAATTTCATTGGGATCAAAATCGGCAATGTCTTTATAAGGTTGTAATTGATCGCTATACAATCTCAAAAATTCCTCTTCTGTATAGTTACGAGCATAACCACCTGGAATATATTTTCCTTGTGGGTCCAAAACACGAAAATTTCCACCAGTCACAAAACTGGGCGCATCAGTAAAATTAAAACAAGACCTAAAACCAATTCCGAATTTTCCAATTTTTGTATCATCGCTAGCTTTTCTACCATCATACATGTTTAACAAAGAATCTAAATCTTTTTCTTCAAACTGTTTATCATTGTAAATCCAAATTGCAGGACCTTGTAATGCTCTCGTATTTTCACTTATTAACCCATCAGTTGGATTTGAATTTCTTTCATCAATTATAATTTTAAATTTGGTTGCTTTCGCATCATCGGCGTTTTGTAAAAATTCTCTGAAAATTGATTCGTGAGGATAATCCTATTGATTATTGTATATATATATATATATATATATATGAGAAGATAAGGATTCGACAATAAATAAGACATTGTGTACTAAAATAAATGATTATAAATTTTTTTTTAAAAAATTTTTTTAAAATACTTTAATAATTTTTTTAATTGATGCTATGATATCTTGTCTTTGCTCGTAACCTTGATGTTTCATCCTATCTTGTTTTCTTTCTTCATCTAAAGTCATTTTTCCGTACATAATTAAATATGGTACTAATATGAATACTATAATAATAACACAATAATAATAAATATTATGAATAATATTTTTTCAAAAAAGAAAAGTAACAGGGAAGGAGAGTACTTATTTATAATAAAGATTTCCAATTTAAAACCATTATTATTATTGTTTCTTAAAATGGAAAATGATCATATAAGTTTCTCATTTGAAATCTGATTGTGATAACAAAATTAAATTAATTTGGTTTTTTCATTAACAAAACGTTGATTAACCTCCGTGTGAGCAATAATTGATGTTTTTCAACTAAAACAAGTTACAATGAATCGCGGACATTTATTCTGGAATATTAAACCGAGATCCCCGCGCCAATTTTTGTTGTACAATTTATTGCTTACACAATATAAATTTTCTAAAGAAGGGTTTGGAATTCCACTATAATTTGTAACAGAAATAACCATTTATTAAAAACAAAACGTCATTTTGAATATGTTGCATATCATTACTATACATACTTCAATATGGTCCAGTCATGTGATTAATATAGATACGCCCGAATTAAGGCAATCCTTATTGGCTGCAACCACGTAATGATTAAGTGTCACAACAATCCTTTTTTAAACTTGTAAGTTTTTCTATTGCCAACAAGGTATCTTTATGTGATACAGGTGTAGGAGGAAGAATAACTTCAGTATATCATTCATCATTATTCACATCATCATTATTATCAACATCATTATTAAGAAACATCATTTTCTTCTTCGTTTGGGATTTATCACTGTTTCATCATACTAATAAAATTTTAAGAGTTCGGTATCAGCCAGGGCTGGCAGCATAAAGGGGTTAAAAACCTAATCAGTAATAATTGCCTTGACTAAACTTGACTTAACATATGACTAAATAGTTTAGCCGGTTTAACCAAGTGCTCATTTGAGTTGCGCGGTATCAGTGCATAAAATTCAACGTGTGTGCGCTAACCAAATATGGAGATTATATACAGATTTTTTTGTATCATTATTATTATATATACAAGATAATTTAATTAAATTTAATTAATAAAAATCATGACCAAAAATTTAGTTCGTTATAGAGAGCAGTTTGATTATCGGAAGTTTGGTGTAGAGACCTTTGACTGTATTAGGTATTTATTTATTATTATAATGATGATACCAATTTTTGGGGTTGAATGTACAAATCGTAACTTTATAAACGCCAATAATTATCACCTGACTTTAAAAGAAGTTCATTTCTGTAGATCCCAAACTTTATTATGAAAGATATTTTTTGAGTTCTATTCTTTTTAGTTGGTATTTTTATGTGATACCCAACAAAGTGATAGCGAAGCCGAAGAAAAATTAAAGATTGAACGTTTGTACTACAATGAATTTATGGATCAAACAAATTCAACCATTTTTATTGATCCATGACGCTCAAGAAAAAATTATAAATAGGCAAATATCAATGAAAAAACGCAGCCATAATTCTTCTTAATATTTTACAATTGTAAAACCAAACCTGATAAAAAAATCAGTATTAAAGACTAAATCTTCATTGATTTTAAAAGACTGCAAACGCCTATTTTTTTAATCACTAATTTTCTAGATAGAAATACAAAATTTCATTCTTCAAAACAATAGCCTTTATTTATACAATGTTTTATTTACTGTATGTAAATTTTTAAAAAACGTGAAAATAAATGTTCAAATTTTTATTTGAATTTTAGTTCTTTTTTTTTTATTAACCTTGCTTGATACATGAAAGTACGTACGTTATGTAGATTTTTTACTAATTAGTGTAATCATGTGAACAAATACTTTTGTCTAGGGATTGTGTATTTGGTTATGTTTTAATAGGTTGCCTATGTCAAAAAAGGATTAATTGGTTGAAACGTATGTCGATGTTGCATCTGGGTTCTTTAAAGAGCTCGTAAACAGTCTCGCCTATGCGTTATGGGTCTCTCCTGTGTCAGGTACATAGCGCAGGACACAGAGGCTTGTGTAATAAAGACGATTGAATTAAATCCGTTTGATACATTGAATTTATTTATTTATTTTATTTTTCGGAAATGACTAAAGGAACTTTACAACCAGAACTGGGCTACAGAGATTAGACCACTCGAGATAATAAAACTTTCATGCTACATGGGAAGGTAGCTCTGATAAAATTTTAATATGTTGGATTTTTGGAAAAGAAATTTAATACGATCATGACAGAGATCCCAGAGTACCAAGCGGAGACTCGACGACCATTACCTCTTGGACGGCAAGGTGATGGAACTTTCATTATACATGGAAAGGATGCCCAGATTAAATTTTAACAAAAACATCAAGAGTTTTATTTTCCAACACTGCTAAAAAAAATTTCATTGCCGCATGCATGATCTTAGTATTATCATTACTCGGGGCGATGCAATTTTAATTTATTTAAAATTATAAAATAATATATATTAAATAACAACTTCATTGTTTATCAAAGAAAATTGTCTGTGGATTTTTGTCAATCCAGTAATTTGATATGAATTAATTAAGGGATTTAAACCTCTTTAAAGCCATTGGGAATATATGTAGCAATGGATTATAGAATTGGTATTAGTATTAGGATAAAGAATACTAGTAATAAAGAATTTGAAATAATTTGAAAGGAATGTAAGAGAACCTCAATTGTGACGATTTTGCAGTTTACCTTCCTTTGGAGAAAATGGATGGCCGCTGCAAGAAGACATCTCGAGATTATGAATGCATCTTATGCTTTTTAAAAAACGAATTTTGTCAGAAAGCAGGCAGAACATAGACTAAGGGAATATCGCAAGGTGATCTTTTCGTTAACATCGATTATCTAACAAGTATTGACACTATGACTGATTATGGCTTAGTTTTTGGCTATTCTTGTCAATAATTTGATGCATGTCAATTAATTAGTTTACGAATTTACTTCTTCTCTTGTTTTCTTGTACCTGAAAAGCTTCAGATAATCTGTAAGCACACTCAATGATGATACAGGCAGGGTGGTCTTTTTACAAAGTTCAAGGCCTCTAAAAAGTTACGTTTTATTTATTTATTTACAAATGTTTATTGTTATTTGGGCTGATTGCCTGTGTTTTTGATTAAGAATACAATAACACCAATTACCCTTTGCTTACTCACTAAAACAATCAATCATTGTCAATACTCACTAGTTTTATTGATAAAAAAGTTTTAAATCGACTTTGCTTTTTTAAAATTAAAAAAGTTCTAGAAATCATTAAAATTTATATGCACAACCTGCCTGAGCTATTGTGCGAAAACTACGTTCAAATAGTACAAGTCACTTGGCCACTGAACTTTTTATTGGCTGTGTATATCCTTTAACTCTTCCAAAAATAGAAATGTATGTATAACCAAAAATAAATCATAGAATTGTAGATAAAGGTCTTAGCTTTAATTCTATGATTTATTTTTGGTTATACATATAGCATCAGGAAATTAAAAATATGTTATTCATAGCATTAAATAGCAATAGATATTATAATTGTAGCAAATAATATTATTGTTAAAATATTTTTTAATAAATAATGAAAACACTAAATAACATAAATATTGTAATTTGTTATTTATTATAAAAATAATTTTTATCATTATATTACTATATATAATAATTGATAATAATAAAATTTTATGTAGGATTACTTTCTGTAAAATAAAATCAATTTGACATTTTATGTTAAATAGCAATAATACACATATAATGAATTAAAAAATAAATCTCAAAAAATGCATTCTGATGGTTATGATGTGGAATAATATGAACATTTGAAACAATTGCATTTATGTCAATAATGTTATAATTCTTGATTAATTTAAGATAAGGACATTCATATTTATAAAATCTTTTTGGATCATTTGTATATTTAAAGTCATACCACTGAATTAAACCCAAATCTTCATTTAAATAATTGGAATTTGTAAGCTTAAATAATAATAGGACCTAGATAGATCTTAATATAAATATTACTGATTGATTAATATAATTGATTGATTTATTGATAATAAATATACCTTTCCATAACAATTTCCATTATCACTTGGATAATCTTTTAAATCATCTTCACTCATACAAATCATAATGTTACTAAACACAGGCTCAGGATAAAAATTTTCTGTACATCTTATATATTCATCAGAACACAGCCTTGCTGTTTCAAAAAGCCGAACTTCTGTATGTTAATAGTCTTTTTATTGGCTGTTAGTTCTGTATTAAGATATCCATCCAAGACAAGAGATTAAATTTTTTTATCCATCAATAGTTTCATTTGATTTGAGTTGTTGATTATCTATATTAACATAAATATTACTAAGTATAAATTTTAATCTTGGTTTTATCAATTTTGAATGACCATTTATTTTGTTTGGTTTATTTTAAGTATTTTTAAGAAAATCACAAACTATGTCTTGTCTATATACCTACACAAATTAGAATCATAAATAATTAAGTTTTAAAAACTTGTTAATGATAAATAAAAGTACTAAAATGTATCTACATGATTTAACATTTGATTAATGGGTTTCTTTTATTTGTGGATTTTAACTGATGATTTGTGAAGTAATTCATATGTTTCAGCTGTTTGACCATTGAGTAAACCAAAGTATTTAATGAAAAGAAGATGTGTGATGTGCCCATGAATGTAGCTTAGGCAATGACAAGCCAGATGGAGAAAAGGATTTAAAAAGCTTGACAAAAATTTCTGCCCAACTTTTTGTCTTATTCTATTTAATAAATTAACTATTATTAATTTATAAATATGCAACTAATTCATTTTCAGAAAATTGGTGCTGATTTCTTGATTTTTTTACGCGTCACACATATCATGAGATCAGCTATTAAATAAATAAACTTTGATAATGGTGCATCAAATGTTGTGACGCGTTCAAAAAGAGCTTTAAAGAAGGTTCAAGAAAACCAAAATAGTCAAGGTATAAATTGTATTCAAAATTCTATATACATGCCAGAATTTATTATTGTAAAAAAAAAATAACATTCCATGTTGCAGTCTATTGAAAGAGAGGAAAAACACTGATTAAATAATTTTAAGCCTACTAAATAAAATTATAAAATATCAATTTTAATAGATAGAAATTTACCAAATTCCAAAACAGTTACAAAAAAATAAAGTCACAACATCTACCACTACTTGAAAATAATGAGAGTAATACTTCATCAACACTAGCTTCCAGCATATGGACTAACTTCTTCACATTTATCAATTATCTCTTCATGACCATCAACACAAATTAGTAAAAGAACTAGTATAACCAATAATCAAGTTAATTCCACACCAATTGCCATTAACTTCTACAATAAGTAATCAAACTAATTTACCACCAACACACCCCTTGACTGCTGATGTCAATAATGATTATTTGGAATCAAATAGTAGTTATAGCAATGGTATATATATATCCTTCCCAATGCATGAAAGATTTAACAATAATAGATTAATATATAATTTTGCTTATTTTTTAATAGGCAGTATTGATAAAAATACATTAAAACAAATATTGATTTACTTAAGAAAAAATACTGAATTACTGGTTGAGACTAATAAAATTGTAAAAAAATTAGATTCAAATTATACTAAATTATCAAATGAATTAAAGGAATAAAAAAAAAAAGACTCAAGTTTTTAAAGAAAATGACAATCAGTGGTATAAGGTGAACTCATTTATATATATTTTTTTTTCATAATTGGTATGGGTTTATAAAGATTTTAAACATTTGAATAAATATAGGAAGTTTGGAAATCTGCTACTAGAAAACTCTTGAAAAATGGATATATTTATCCAAATGAAACTGGCTTTAAAGATTATTTCATTAGTGTTATAAATGAGCAATATGACTCAAAAAAAAAAAAGAGATCAACAACACCCAGCAATTCAAAAAGTCATGAGAAATATTTTGCTAAAATATGTAATTACTATGATCAATATATTTATGCCTTAATATGTTTAATATGTATTTTTTTTTATATATATTAATAGGGACAAACTGCAATGAGAACAGCTCATAGATCTCTTGTACAATGAACAAAAAGTGCTATGTTTACTATATTTGGGTCTATTGAATAACGTTATTTTCATCATGTACTATATATTGCTATGAATATCGCATTTTTAATTTCCTGATGCTGTATTTCTTCTATTTTTGGAAGAGTTAAAGGATATTTAGATCACGGGATCTATTGAATGGCAACTCTAATTGGTCTGCAAAGAACTGCGCTGCACAAATAGAGAATTAAGCATAGAGAGGAAGAGAAGAATTTATCTACTTTATTATTTCAGGTTCAAATATTTGAATCTTTTGATATTTTTTTTTTTATGAATTGAAGTTTTGTGGGTGGTGGTTGTTTTTTCCCTTTTATTGGCAGTGTTGCTACTAGTGATGATGGTTTGTGTTGTTGTAGTTTGATTAAAAAATTTTAAATAAATATTATAGGAATAGATAATTATTTATATTTTAATAATCAATCACCAAAGAGTTTGAAAAATCACCCAGACTTCAAAAAGCTAAAAAAGAGGAATTTTGTTTAAAACCTTATTATTCTTTCTTGTAACTTTACATAAAAATTTTAAAATAATAACCATAGGAAGAGACAGAATAAAACCATCTAGCTTTGGAATCAGCTAATATACACCTTTATGACAATGATAAAACGTAATTAACTTTTTTTGGATAAATTTCTAGTAAAACTGCTATGAAAAGTTCTGCTGTAGAATTTTCACAACCGATTGGCCAATTGATCTTATAACTTTCTTAACAAAATTTCAGTTGTGTATCTATTAATATTAATTAATGATAATAGATTTAAAATAATAAATATTTTTAACTTGATTCAATATTGTCACAAAAAAATACCTTAATATTATTTCTCAATACATCTGGTCTTATTTGAATAATTAATAGTATATTACAAAGTGTCACATACTGAACTTCTGGCTCACTTGAAAATGATGTCACTAATAAATCATATATGAGGTTTTTTTTTGTAAGATATAAACATATATAAATAATAAATTAAAAAAAATTTTTTTATCCAAGGAGGGATTACACATATTTGTAATGTCATATTCTTTAATCATGTCATTTATTAAATACATGATAACTTTTACTGCAATTAGCACTAAACTAGAATTGATATGTTGTAGTCTTGGTGTAATACGCTCTCGGCCAATATTTCTGCGTCTCCCATTTCTAAAGGAACATATCCATAAATCCTTCATTTCCTACAAACGATTCATCATACAAATGTAATTTTGATACTGTGATTGCAGCAGTTTTTCTTACATATTGATACTGATCTTGTAAAGAATGCCTTAATGGATCAACCAAAGCATCTACCACCTTTTCAACGCTTATACAACCCATTGTTCTTATTGCTAATGCTCTTATTAAAGGATTATGATTTTCGAAAAAACAAATAAAATTTTAGCATATATACATATAAAATATATAATAATTAAATAAAGTCAACAGCCATATCAGATTTTGTTATTGAATAATTAATTAAATAAAAAATAAACCATTTATTGATTTCTAGCAGAGGAATTTTCGTACAATTAATTACATCGGTGACATGTCGGTTCCCATTGTCATATTGGCTACAATCTTTTTTAAATACTGTCTTCTTTTTACACATGTTGTCTATCTTTCTTTTAATTCTTGGATTTTACCTAACACTAAATGCAAAAATATAAATTTAATTAAAATAGTGAAAAAGGATACAGACAAACGAATCTCTCTGAAAATATAAGTATATGTATGTATGCTGCTGTTGTAGTTGTTTGATTGTAATAAAAAATCAAAAATCATAAAATCATAAAAAAAAAATTTTTGTTACATAATTTAATTATTTGTTGCTCCCAGCTGGGGTTGAACCAGCGACCTTCGCGTTATTAGCACGACGCTCTAACCAACTGAGCTATGAGAGCTTGTTTTGAATTTTTGGCAAAAATTTTTTAATTGAAAATTACTTATTTTTCGAAACGATTTTGGATAGTCAAAATAGTTGAAATGATTTTATTGGTCTTGAGGTTTGTGCTTCAAAATGTTACACTAATTTTATTATTATTATTATAATAATAAATATTGTTAATATTATTGGGAGAGCGTGTTTTAATGGGTGATGGCAATTATTTTTGTATTTGTGTGGATCAGAATGAATAGGTTATCAACAAATCTTTGAAAATTGCGATAATATTTAAAAATTTTGAAATATTGGAAAGATGATTCTTCCTTAATAAAGTTAAATAAACTATGGCGTTATTACAAATAATTATTAAATAAAAACGTAGGCGCAACACGGATAAAATAATACTAAATTACGTATTAGTATAATAAAATTAAGAATTTTGGAATTAGTTAATTTCAGCCAAAAGAGCGTCCAATCTAATTCCGGTAACATTATCATAATATTAAGAAAATTATATTAACAGGGATATTGTCAAAAAAAAAATATATCATACTAATATTAAAAAATATTATTTAATTATCATTAATAATAAAACATATATTATTAACATATATAAATAAAGCCAAGAAATAACTTAGACATAATTGGTTTGCATTGAATTATTTGTGTTATGTAAAGATTTAAAATTATAATTTGATTGAAGAAACATAAAATAATTGCTTCTTAAGATGCTTTAAACATAAGGTAGAAAATAATCCTTCACAATTACATTGTGTGGTGCTATACAAAGCACTTTTAGAGCCAACTTTCTACACTATGTAGAATCATGTACATACAAATTCAAATTCATATGGCTTTGTATAAGCTTATATGCTGCTACTAGCTGATATATTTGTCTAAAAATATCAAGTTTAAAGCCTTTTCCTGCGAAACAATGGTATTGATTATGCTTAAGGTTGTGGGCAAAACTCCTCCAGAAATCAATTAACAAGGTTTCAACAGGTTACACATTAATTGTTTATTAGAGTTTTGGCAAAGTTTTGCATTTGGGGTTTTGTCAATCATCAGAGTTTTGACAAGGTATATATTAATTGTTCATTAGAGTTTTGACAGATTTTTGAAGCAACCTTAATTATGCCTCTATTAAAAAAAAAAAATGAATAAATAAAAATGCCTTGCCTCTATAAAATGGGCAAAAAAAAGCCAAGCAAATAAATTTTAATATTCACCTTTTGTTGAACTTTTCAATACAAAAAAAATGAAAGGAATGAAATGATGTGTTCTTAAACCCCAAGGTAATTGTTGTTTCTTTAACTGGTTGAAAATTTTAAAATGTGCATAATTTTTTTTTTCAAAATTTTTTAAATAATAATCAAGTATATACTAATATTAGAAATATTTTACAAATTTCAACTAATAATATTAATCCATGATTAGCTAACATAAATTGGCTTCATATTAATTATAATAAAAATTTATACAAAATGTGACTCCCAATTACAGTCAAACCTTGATAAACCAAACTACTATAAACCAATTTTCACTTTATAATGATGCAAAATATACATGAAGTTGAAATGGTTGAAAATAATTTTGACTTTTTGATAAATAGTCAAAAATAAGTTGATTGGTATAGTTTTTTAATGTTCTTGTTTATAAAAAATGCTGAGAAGCCCAAATTGCCCTAACTAGTTTGGGCTTTGAGAAAACAGTTTGGACTGGAAACCTTAGTTATTATATATATATATAGTTGGGCTCTATAATAAGATAAAATTAAAATCAACTGATTTTAACCTGTCAGAAAAGTGACAGGGTTACAACTAGTTATTAAATTATAATATTAAAAAAATTATATCTAACAGTGATATTGTCAAAATAAAAATATCATACTAATATTAAAAAATATTATTTAATAATAAATATATAATAATTATTATTATTAACATATATAAAAATATTACTATGTATTACATTTCATTACATAAAGCCAAGAAATGACTGATGTGAGTAATGAAATAATAATTGAAAATTACCTTGATCTCACAGATTATACATGAAGTTGAAATTGGAACCCAAAAATTGAAATATTTCGACCTGAGAGATCAAAGTTGAATCAAAAGTCAAAATGATCAAAATTACATCATACAACAAGCTTAACATACAGAAAATTAATCAAAAGCTTCAAATCCTCATAACTTGGTCAATATCTGGCTATTTTGAATAAAACAACTATCATTCGAATTCTCTCAATGAGGTGAGTCTAATACTAATACTAATACTAATAATATGTAATTCGAATCACTGATTATTGAGATATTTTGGTTTACCATAATATTACAATAACTCGTCATTTATTGATGCTATGGACATTAAATCACCATTATTCGAATCGTCTTTATGAGACATTAAATTTGGAATCACTGGTTCTCAAATAATTTTGAAATTATTAATTATAATAAATCATGTGATATGACCATTTTATTAAATCGTTTTGACTTCATGTATTAGTATTAGTATGATCTGGCGGCAAATATGTTTTTAAAAAAAATTTTTTTATTTGTTAGTTAATTGATAAGAAAATAATTTCTTCTTCAGAATGCATTCACCCTAATTGTTCATAAGAGATTAACCCTACCACATGTAACATTAAATGTTGATGAAACATGTTTGCAGAAGGCCAAGTAAATGTTGTAGGATAATTTACATAATCTAAAATTTGATTATTCCCAATTGAAAATCTTTCAAAGCAGCTTTAGAAGAAAATAAAAGATTAAAAGTTATAAATCGTAATGGATTGCAAAGTTTGAGATTATCATTATAAAGGTAGATAGCAAGTGTAAGTTTTGCACATTTCTTTGATCAATGCAATAATAATCTATTTATTAAATTTGAAATAAATGAACTTGGCTGTTACATTGCACAAAGGAAATTTTAATAATTGTGGTTTTAATATCACACTGTTAATAAGTAGTTGCCATTAAATATTTACAGATTGCCAAATTGTAATTAAATTAAATTGCTAATAATAATTTACTATGGCGCGTGCACATACATATGGGGTTTGTACTAGGAAAATCAAGCTTTCCAGACAAAAAATCTATTTTTAGTAACAACCCTTATAAATTTGGTTACACATATGTTTTTAATATATAAAGAAAATATTCCAAGCCTTGTATCTCATTTTTCTACTATGCAAACAGAGTCCAATTTTTTCACCAACTGTAAATCCTTTATTAGAGATCATTGTTGAGTAAAAAGACAAAAAAAAAAAAAAAGCTGGAAGCTTGATTTTCCTAGTACAGACCCCATATAAATATGCAATATGATGATCACTGACATATTGTTTAGATTATGTCATAACCATGAAAAATATTAGGTAAGGTCACACGATCAAATATAGTTCTAGCGATTTTATTTATTTTTCTATGCGTGCGTGTAACGCGCTAATTTTAGAGCTGAACATATATAGTAAATTCGATAAACTTGTGCAAATTTGAGGTTCAAACCCTCCACAACAATATGACATTAATATCAACAAAATGAAATCGTAGAGAAATAAAAAAACCTTGGCTTCAAAAAGCACGATTTATTTTTTGGTATTACACGACCAATAAAAAGTTGCGGGACTAAATGACTTGTACATTGTACGCTGTGTGATTTCAAATTTGATTGGACAAGTCGGAATTGTTTAGCCACAAATATGGTTGACCAATGAGATGAATTATAACAAATATATGTTAGTAGTACAACTGTGGCGTTTAGCAAATTTTTCATCACTTTGTCTGGTTTTTTTGTTTGCAGAATGCCACATACAATATAGTGGTATTTTATCATTAAAGAAAACAATGCAAGAAGACACTCATAACAACAACAACAATAATCAACAGCAGCAACAAATTATTGGAGGAGGAGGAGGAGGAGGATCTTCGCTGTTCTTACTACAAAACTCAAGACAACTGCAATCAATTCAACCAGCAACCACTTTTACTACCTCTACTAATAATGTCAACGTACAAGGACTCTCCTCTCGTCAACCCTCAACACAAGGTTCATTACAACATTCTTCATACTCTTCTAGACAAATATATTCTAATATTAATAATAATCATAATAATAGTCCTTTAAGGCATTTGTCAAACGTTCCCATACAACCACATCAGCAATTATTTTCAAATTCTCTTCAACCAAATGTTTCACCATTAGGACAACAATCTCAAAATCCAACAATGCTTTTACAACCACCTCTTCCATCTATCATTACAACCAATAATACTAACAACACCAATAACACTCACATTCAACCAATCATATCCTCCACCAACTCTGGAAATTCAATATTTTCTAATAACAATACGGGAAGACAAAATATTCCAAGTTCTAGATTGTCACCAGTTCAAACATCTGGGATTGCCAATAACAACAATACCAACAACAATAATACTACTAATGTTACAAATCGTTATCAACAAAATCCTACCCCACATCAGTCACCGCGTCAATCAAATACAACAATAAATTTACCACACAATATTCTTGCCAATTTAGATCATTCTGCATTATCACCACGTGGTCCTCATTTATCAGCAATTAATAATAACAATAATAGTAGTAGTAATAACAATAATAGTAATAATAGTAATAATAATAATAGTAGTAATAATAATAATAATAATAATAATAATAATAATAATAATAATAATAATAATAATAATAATAATAATAATA